AAATGGAGTTTTCATCGCGCGACGAAGACTAGCCACGAAAACTAGCCAACTACTTGATACACAAAGTTCGGATGCAATGTGAATAATTGCAGCAGAAGACACATCTGTGAAGTGTTCTCCCCTTTTCTTCTCCAAATCGCCAAGTGAATTAATTTATTATTTGATGACTTTTAATAAATGTTATTTTTTTTTGTATGAAAAAGCAAAACACTTTGCCAAAACATTAGCGGTGTACGAAGGACATTTTCAAACTCATGAACCTCGATCGTCTTCTCAAAAACCACACGTTGGCACTTACAGAAAGAAAAAAAAAAAAAAGAAAAGGGGGAGGGGGGGGGGGGGGGCAGATGGAAGTTGTGGCAGCCAATGCGAGGGAGCTTGTCAAGATTGTGCGTTGCACAAAACTGTTTTTTTTTTTTGCCTTTTAAAGTATGAATATTTTTTTTTTCTTAACAAGCCCCCTCCCCCTTCCCCCCAACATTTTGTCCACCAGACCGTCCGTGCATTTCCCGCTAAATTTAGCGGGGAAACTGAACTGCTGTTGAGGTCACGTGACGTCCAATGGATGTCAGGTGACCTGACGTCACGTGATCTACAGCATGTACACTAGCGCTTCCACCCCACTTTGGACACTGGGATTTACTACAGAGGTGCTGCCAGGTGGTGCACGGATGGAGTTCAAATATTCACGGATCAGCTTACCTTGTTCAAAAAAGAAGACAAAAAAAAAAACCGTTTCGGGCTATCTGCCGCGGCATTCGCAGACGGCGTCATGACCGAGCTCGCCTAGTTAAATCTGCCGCCGACAGATGTCGTAAGCGTCGAGCGCGCCGACGCAAGCTTAGCAGACGATCTCCGAGAACTTTTACACTATGCCGGCGCGATCCTCCGCCGGCGCGGCGCGCTCGGCGCATCCGACATATGTCGGTGGCAGATCTAACTCATAGAGTTATTACAATAAACGCTAGATGTTCAGGCGCCAGAGTGCTGTTGCGTTTTAAAGCAGACAGCGAGCAGTCTAAATACGGCTTCCGGTAATGCATTCCTACGGGAAAACGCAAATGCGTTTTCTCTTCGCGCTCTGTTATAAGAGCAAATATTGCTTAGCGTTGTGAAAGAACAAAACGTTTGGAACGTTTTACAATCGGATGTACAAAAATATGCTTCAGTTTGAGCGTTTTATCTTTAGAATTCAGGTGTCGAACACTGCGCTAATATAGCCCAATACAGATATGTATAATACGTGTCGACGTTGCAGACTGCTATAATAACGTACGTATTTACGCATTAGGTGTGCCGCACTGCAAACGTCCATAGATCGTCTGTTTTTGCTCACATTGTCCAGGGGCGTACAAAATACTTGCAAAGATTTAAAAAAAAAAATGTTTTTTTGAGAAGCAATTGGGAGGATTTCCGTTTGTGGCAACTTGAAACCGTTTTAAGTTCTCGCTGTCAACCTCATGGTAACTGATTGTTTACTTTCTCTCTTTGTTTCGCGATTCCATCTCCTAGCCCACGCCTTTCCTGCCCACATCCGGCGCTTCGCTTCTCGCTAATCTCGCAGCCATCATTCATAGGAAGACGGGAGACGGGGCGGCACTTGCGCCTCGTTCAACGCACAGCAGTGGTTCTTAGAAAGGAACCTAGCCGAACGGAAGATAATTAAACGGATACCCTTCTTACGACTCTCCAGAGACGAAACTGCCAGAAGGTTCGAAGGGTTCGCGAGCCTTGCCCAATTCCCAGCTTCGAAGACCAACGCACACCGCGCAAACTTCAAAAAAAGAAAAAACAGTGGCCGAGTGGGCTAGCCCACACCCGCTCGGAGCGCGTGGAGCAAAAGCTCGTGCTGCAGGACCCAGGGATCCTGGGTTCGCACCCCACCCCCACCCTTCGATCTGGGGCCCTATGTTGGACGTTTAGGTCTCCCACGGCGACTATGGAGAAGGAAGTGACGTCAACAACGCAGCAAATGCAGGTTGGATGTTGAATGATGAGAGATCAGTCCACATCCAATCTGCATTTGCTGCGTTGTTGACGTCACTTCCTTCTCCCTAGTCGCCGTGGGAGTCCAAAACGTGCAACATAGGGCCCCTGGATGAGCGCCATACCGGCGTGCGGTCGTGTTCCACTACTGTGTGGGTCACGTTAAAGACCCCAGGGGTTGCACTGCACCGGCTAAATTGCTCATCTACAGCTGGGAGACAAGTAGTCTGTTGAGGCTCACTGACTTCCGGTTGTCACACAACGCAATTACTTATTGCAGATCAAGTGGCCGTTTGTTCTGGCTGCCAGTTGGCGCGGTAAACACGCATCTCGGTGGTTTTTTAACTGGTTTTTTTTTTCTTTTCTGCGACTGCCACTGCGTGCAAAAAAAAAAAAAAAAAACTAACGCGTTTTATGGGTTATGGAAGTCGAAGATATTTACTGAAAGGCCCAAACTTGCAACATCGCCCCTTTCAGTTGCTTCCCCTCTTGAATCTGGGACCAGATGGCGCCGCAGCCAGCTTGGCCTCCTCCGAGCACGGACCCCCGGACTTTCCCGGGTGACGCATCCAGTTACGGAGGCCGCGGACGCGAACAAAAGAACCCCGCGCTGCACAAACATGTTCGCCGCCTGCGAGACGGCTAACGAGCCAGGGTTTCGACCCAAAATAGTCGTTTGACGTCAAAATTATTGTTTGCAGAGCGTTAGCTTGCCTGCAAAAAAACACTTCCTGCAAAGCTAGTTTTATGAGGGAGTGTGGACTGGGTGGGGGGGAGCCGGGCAGAAGCGCGTTACAACCGGAGTAAACAATTAAGCACCGTATTTAAATACTAGGATTTTTTTTATGATTATTCATTATGACGGGACGTGATGCGTTTTGGGAAAGATTATATTGTTCATGATTTCTAAATGATACGAGCTTATTTGTGCGTTAATAATGCGGGAAGTTTTCAAAATGCGCTCTCTGTGAGATTCATTGGCGTGCAAACTATAAACCTAAGAAGGAAAAAAAATATTGTTTTATCTGTTGAAATTTTTAGATTCGAGTCGGGACAGTCAGGTTATTTTTTCTAATAAGAACAACTGAGAAGTCGAAACTGCTGATGCAGAGAAGTGTTCTAATTTATCATACTTGATTTGTATTCAAAACCGCGCCAGCTCCCTGAAAACAGCGTTGCTAGGGCGATTGGTGTTAGCGAAGTTCTTGGTACTTCATTTGTTTTTTTGTTTCTTCGTAAATGAACACACCCGAACGAAAGGGCTATTAGTATTGTAAATGAACAAATAAATAAAACGGTGCTTCCATGTTCCTTTTTTCTCGGGGCTGGTTTTCTTAAAATCTAAAATTCCGGACCTCTGAAAAATTGGTTAAATGCAATTAACAAAAAAAGTTAGATATATTGTGATTGGTCCCTCGGCCCTTTAATTTTCAGGTGACCATTCTATAAAATGCACCCCCCCCCCCCCCCCTTCCCTCCTCTTCTCTAACAAAAGTCGAGTCATGCGTTTCAGAGTTCCGCCAGTTACCTGAGTGTTCTTCAGTTGACACTGAAATTCACTCCCTCTTTCTCTCTCTTTCTCACTCTCTCTCCAATGAAGCTCCAGCATTAACCATGCAGGCAGCGCCACTGCTCCTTGGATCCTAGCGCCACCTCTCGCCATTATTTTGCTATTAGGGCAGTTCAGGAAGTTCAGGCAGCATGCAGGTTTCCAAAGTTTGCGGGAAGTTTAATGAGAACTTGTAACACCGAACAAGACTCAAAGTTACGGAAATTCGACAAGGCATGTCCGCAAATCTTTAAAATAACAGAGAGTACAAGGCAAACGGTTTCGGAGCTCCGACAGAGTTAATCCTATCCATACGGGTTATACGGCGACTTCCGCAAATCCTCTTGAATTTCCTGATTAAAAATAAATAATTACTCAAAATTAATTAATAACTTAATTATGCCGAACGTGATTAAATTATCCTAAATAGACCCCTTGGCAGAGAACTCGGTTTGAGAAGAAATAGGTGTCTGAACAAGGCCAGAAAAAGGACCGATATTTCACTCGGGCTTCGTGCATCTCCCGGCAGGGGGCCCCTCGAGCTCCAGTGATGCTGCGCCATCTCACGGCGTTTGCCAGAAATACGAGCAGTTAAATGGCTGACTAGGAAGGCAAAATTTCAAGCCTGCCTCTGGCTCCACCGCAGCACAGTCATAGAAGGGTGCTCCCAGGACAGCTGTAATGTGCACTGCTCGATACTGTTAGCGCGAAAGCGACATCGGCGATTTTTTAGAGCGCAGCTCTTAGGCGCCCGTTTCCGTGTTCCGTGGCGTCGGCGTAACGGCGCTAAATTTAGCGGGAAAATTGACGTCACGTGACCTCGAAACCAATTCAATTCCCCGCTAAATTTAGCGGGGAAATTCAGTTTCTCCGCTAGATTTAGCGGACAAATTGACGTCACGTGACATCAACACCAATTCTATTTCCCGTTACGTGACCTCAACACCAATTCAATCCCCCACTAAATATAGCGGAGAATCGAATTGGTGTTGAGGTCACGGGCAGTCAATTTTCCCGTTGAATCTGACGGAGAAGCTGAATTTGTTCATAGGTGAGTTGACACCAAATCGTGTGACGTCATTTTCCCCGCTAAATTTAGCGGGGAAACTGAATTGGAGGAGGAGGGGAGAAGGAGAGGGTATGGAGGCGGAGGGGAATAGCCTCCCCTACGTACCCTCCCCTCTTTCTCAAGAGCTGCGCTCTAATTTCGCATTACAAAGATTTGTAAACGTATTTCGTTTTTTTTTTCGTTTTTTTTTTTTCAACAGGGTTACGTAAGAGTCGAATTTTACCGCATAGATCAGTGCCGCTTTCCGCTACCCTAGTAGTTTTGATGATAGCCATTAGATTTTAGGAGAAAAACAGGAACGAAACCGGCGGTCGCATGTTCACGCTACCAGCGCCGCACAGTGTTTCCCTGCCCACAACTGTATGCAGGGCGTCCCATGTGGCCGGGGGCACTCGCCTTGTTGCCGGCCGCTTCCTTGAGGGCGTCGTCGCCCTCCTTGATCTTCATGGCGGGGCGGCGGCGGCGCCGTCAGCGCGGGACACACACCTGCAACAGGACACACGGGGACGTGAGCACGCGCCTGCCGTCCATCAGTCACGCAACGCCAGCCGTCGTCCAAGGCTCCCAAGAATCTGTTGCCGCGCAGCGAGAAGGAGAGCCGGGCGAGGGGATCCGAAAAATTTGGAGAAGCTTTCAAACGACCGACTCAAATAGTTTACTCCGTTGGAACTCAAGAAGGCGAGGCAAAGGAAGGCAGGGGAGGAGGAAGCATGCGGAACGCTGGAGAGAAAGAACCTCCTCCACTCTCCAGCGTTCCGTCTGCTTCCCTACCGAAAAATAAAATTATATGAATTTATTTCTGATATGTCGATTGGACACATTTTTCATGTCAACTCTTTGGGAGTTTCGTATCAGTTTCATATGTCGCATATAAGTTTCAGCTAGGCTAGGTGGCGCTAGGTACCACCCAATTCATATGCTACAAAAATATTTTTCGCTCACGCCCCCTTGCACTTCCGGCTCTTCGGGCACCTATTATACACATATGTAGATACATTAGGCAAACGTCTAGCATCAGCCTCACGTATACATTGAGTGCATATACATACACGGCACAACAAACATGAATACAACAGTACACCCGGTAACTACTTCTGAGCTCTCCGTTTCCGCCTTTTATACTGGTCGTTTTGAAGTTACGGATTTTCTCGGTGACCAGCTAAGCAATAAATAATATTCGCAGCATGTTGATTTGTTTTCAGTAAGGTCATACCTCCGAGAGTATTTCGAACGGGCCAGGTGATGAATCTTTAAGTAGAAATTAAACTCTGATGCCGTAATTATTTGAAAACCAATAAAACAAGCCGCTCCACTGCGGTTCCAAGTCACGTGCTTGCTTCCCCGCACGGCACGTCGTATACTGAAAAAAAAAAAAAGCATATGAATTCATTTCTGATATGTTTATTGGACACATTTTCATATCGCAACTTATATAAGCATATTAGTTCTTATATGTCGTATATCAGCTTTTTGGTATTTCATACAAGTTTCATATGCCGCATATAAGTTTTTGGATATTACATATCAGTTTCATATGTCGCATATCAGCTTTTGGGTATTTCATATTAGTTCTTATATAGATTCATATATTGTTTTCAGTAAGGTTCCTCCTCCCCGGCTTTGCTTTCCCTCGCCCTACCTTCTTGAGTTGCAACGGACTATATATAGGTAATACAGCGTACTCTGCGAAAATACAATGGCCGCACCGCGTAATAATTGAAACTGCTGGCCGCGCGGAGCCTCGGAGAGCCAGCCGTCGCTGCTGTCTTGGCAAATCCGGTATCTCGGCGTGCCGGCGGCGGCCCTCTCCCTGGGCGCAACGCGAGTCTTCCCTCAGACCCGCCCATACTAGGGAAGGATATGGCGCGGTAGGTTGGCGCTAGGCAGCGCCACTGGCGGTAGGCGCTCTGCGGAATGCGCGAAGTAGAGTGTTCTGCCTGCAAAGATCATGTTGCTCCTCACTCTCATTGGCTGGCGTAAGCGAACATGTGACCATGGCGACAACCAATGGCGTTTTCGCCGGTGGTCACACTCAGTCTTGAATAGTAGCGCGTTACTATAACTTCGTTACTTTTTTGGTAACTTGTAACTGTAACGAGTTACTTTTTTTAAAAATGTAACTTGTAACTGCAGTTCTATTACTTTTTTTCTGAGGTAATGATGAAAGTAACCACGTTACTTCGTTACTTTCCAGTTTTTTATGAATAATTTATCATTGAACGAGTACAATCTAGCTATTTCTCGCACTTTCCAAATTGCCTGTTTTGAAATTGCGAGAGTCAAGTTGGCCTTGAACAAACTCAGAACACGTTATTCCTCCCGAGTCACGACCCAAATATAGCCACGTGTAGATGTGATAAAAAAAATTTAGTTGTGATTTGCACGCGTTTGTACTTTGTGGTAGAACACTTACATCTTAGTATACCTTAAAGCCCTCTCTTTGTTGCGGTTGTTCTTTTTTCTGTCCAAACGCTTTTTAATCGGGTGAATCAACCGTGAAACAACAATGCACACAGAGGGCCCTGCGAATGTTTCGTATTTTAATTAGCGCCACTACTTCGCACTGCGCATGTTTCGTATTTCGATTTGCGCCACTACTCCGGCCTGGTGCAACAGTCGAGGCAAAATTTACTGCTCTGTGCGCGGGGTTTGCTTGTTGTTAGGAGGGAACAGCGCAAAAAGGACGTAAGACGAGGTCGAAGAAACACACAGACAGGGCGCTGACTTACAACTGAAAGTTTATTGCTCTCAAGAAAAAGAAATAAACACAGAAAGGAGGAAGGGGAGAGAACGAACAAATCAAACCAATAACATGCGGCATCACCCACGCCCACGCTCCGTCACACGAACCTGCCACACTTTCTGAGAAAATCCACCTCGTCATTTGCAAGGGCAACCGAAGGAGCGCTCACACGCGTGTCAGTTCCGATAGACGCGATAAAAAATGCTTCGTCTATCTCCCTCGCAGTTTTGTTTTTGTGACGAGACAAAATCTTTATGTCACGCAATGACGGCGTGCAGCCACACCTGTCACAATGCACCGCTAGGTTTCCTGAGGGCGAGGAACGTAAAGAAAGGGAATGTTCTCTTGCCCTTACGAAGAAAGGGAATGTTCTCTTGCCCTTACGTTAACGTAAGGGCAAGAGAACATTCCCTTTCTTTACGTTCCTCGCCCTCAGGAAACCTAGCGGTGCATTGTGACAGGTGTGGCTGCACGCCGTCATTGCGTGACATAAAGATTTTGTCTCGTCACAAAAACAAAACTGCGAGGGAGATAGACGAAGCATTTCTTATCGCGTCTATCGGAGCTGAGACGTGTGTGAGCGCTCCTTCGGTTGCCCTTGCAAATGACGAGGTGGATTTTCTCAGAAAGTGTGGCAGGTTCGTGTGACGGAGCGTGGGCGTGGGTGATGCCGCATGTTATTGGTATGATTTGTTCGTTCTCTCCCCTTCCTCCTTTCTGTGTTTATTTCTTTTTCTTCAGAGCAATAACCTTTCAGTTGTAAGTCAGCGCCCTGTCTGTGTGTTTCTTCGACCTCGTCTTACGTCCTTTTTGCGCTGTTCCCTCCTAACATTATGTACCACCAACTAGCCCAACTACATGCCTTGTTTGCTTGTTGCTCTGGTTGCGCGGGGCCTATTCAGCAAGGGCAGGGACGTGCTCGCCATCAAGCGAGGGAAACCTTCAGCCACTATTTCCAAAAAACAACTGTTGCTAAGTTGCAATATAAAATAAAAAGCATGCTTTTTAATTTTATGCAATAAAACTTGGTGAGGGGCGTTTTCTAGTGTTTCATACATTTTTAGCGTTATAGAAAAGTAACTGAAAAGTAACGTCGTTAGTTTTAAAAGTGTAACTGTAACGCGTTAATTTTTTGTTGCGGTAACTGTAACGGTAACTTCGCTACTTTTTTACTGAAGGTAACGGTAACGAATTACTTTTTTTAAAAGTAACTTACCCAAGACTGGTCACACTACGAGTATCAGTGCAACAAACGATTGCATCGAGATTAACTTATTCGAAAATAGTACGTGCAACGATTTTGTTACTGCCGCTATGTTTGTTTTAATCAGCGTGTGCAGTCTGAAATATCATCTGGTATCGATGGAAGTCTCAGGTCCCGGCTCACTTCTCTGCGCGTGACTGGATGAGTCGGCGATTAATCCGGCGGCTCGGATTGGCCGGCGCCAAGGTCAAGTGCGGAGTTGGCCAATCACGGCCGCCTCATTTCTCGCCGTCCCTGATTTGTCCCTCGGCTTGTATCGTCCGCTCTGCCTCAAAGGGCCATCTGACAACCCCAGCGTGGATGCTCTTTATTTGCATATTTTTTATCGTTTCAAACGCTTGTGGAGCGCGTGATAACTAAAATAGATAATATCGGAAAATATTTTTATTTTAGCGAGCGGAAGGACCGGTCTCAAAAAACCGCCCCCCTCAACTTCGACTGTTGTGTTTCGCGTGCATGGAAAGTTTTCCCGAAGTGGCAACAAATGACGTCACAGGAGTTGTGGTCGGGTGTTGCAATCCTGGCGGTTGGTCGTAGCACTTCCGGCTAATGTACAAGCGAGCGCAATCGTCGTTATCAAGTCTCTCTGGCGTGAGCACGTGGCGAAAAATGATGTTCGCCTTTAACAGGTTATACCTCACAGGACGACCCCAACTGGTGGCTTTCAAAAGTCGCAGAAGTATTAGAACTTTTCTGACTGCCGGGGTGCCGCAGGGCTGAGTTCTGTCGCCGATGTTGTTTAAACCTTAAGGAAATGACCTTCCTAATGCTATCTCCGAATGTAAAATATAACAATACGCAGACGACACGGGTTTGATGTCATATGACGTAGGTTATCACACGTTGGCGTTCAAAAACTTCAAAAATATCTTATTTCCACAATGGAGTGGTTTGATGCTAACTTAATTCAAGTGACTGCTTCGAAGACAGAACTTGTTGGGTTTAGCTACCCGCTCAAGCAGGTGGATCTAGCAGATACTATAACGCTGCATACTTCCACCTGAAGTTCTTGTGGTTGCGAACCTCGTCAGTATGTGAAATAGGTAAATACGTGGGAATTTACTTGGATAGTGATTTGTCATGTTGTACTCAAATGATGTATTCGTGTAAACGATTAAGAGGCGTGTCACGTTGTCTTTACAATGTCAAAATGTTCTTTCCATTTTCTGCTAGAAAAATGACAACAAAATCCTCGGCATATAGTTACGAACGGTACCGTATAACCATTAGTGCACATTCTTTATTAAAAGGTATTTTGAGAATTGATGTGTTTGGTAGGCCAGATGTCTTATTAAATACACGTATATTTCACCAACTTGGACTATCGTCTTTCGATAGACTTTTTTTAAACAAACAGTCGTCCTCCGGCACTTCTGGAATTCTGCGTTTAAAACGCCATATCTACAGCAGCGACCAATATGAGATTTGTTTCGATGTACCGCGCATCACAACAAGAGATGGTGATGAGCATACGTGAAT